TCCAACGAACCGGGGCAAACGACTGGTTGACTTGCCCGACGGCTCCATCATCGGAACGAGTGCTCTACGGCGAGTGGCCTCACTTCAGAGACTTTATCCAAAGTTAAAGTTTGTTTCTATTCGAGGCAATCTAAACACGCGATTAAAAAAGTTGGACCACCGTCATGAAACAGGGAATGCCGATTCGAACTGTGAAAATCCCCCCGTTAAATATGATGCCATTATCCTGGCTAAAGCTGGAATTGAACGACTCGGTTGGTCCGATCGTATTGATCAAGTGAGTTTACTATTCTCCTTGATCTACGGATTTTCCTGCTTGGTTTTCTTCGGCCTATGTAAACGGAAACAAGGNGGTTTTATACCTGTTTCAAATCATGTGAATGTCAGGTACTTTTTTGGTTTTGCTTTAACGAAACTATTATATCTTCCTGCTTTTAGACTCGTAATTTTTGTTCTCCGATGATAAGTGATAAAATCACCGTCAACCTGGTTTTCCCAGTCAGTTCCAAGCGTTAAGGATCAATATACCAAGGGTTGGCAACCGCGAAACACAATCCGACCATCTAGGTTGGTTGAGGGAGGTGCACTTGCGGACTGCTTGTGTGTCCTTTCCCAATCATTGAACTCCGCTGGAACTTCATTGTTGCTCATATATTGCTGCCACCAGATGTGAGCTACGCTTCGAATACATTAATGGTCTTTCGCTTATGGAGGCCGTGGCTATGATAGTTGCGATGAAGTTATCAGTTTCCGACTATCTGTGAAATCATCGACTCAAGAATGTGAAAGTCGTATCTACAAATTCCGCACTACATATTCGCACAGAGCCTGGAAATAAGTGTGGCTGTGGGATTTACACAAAATTGTATGGGTGAAAAATCGGTATATGCATCTATAGTCGCGTTAGTGACCCGTGGACAACTACCGCAGTTAGAGACCATGGAAAACCCTCATTTCAAACTTCTTAAGAAGAGGCACATGAACTGGCTTCCAGACAGCCAGTAACAGCAGTCAGTGACTCGACTGAGCCGCACGATGCACCTGTGGCGCGCGAAAATCGTCTCAAGAAAGTAAGTAGCGAGTGATCGGATGGACACTGGCTCCCAACGGATTGCGGTTTTCACACCGATTAGCTGCTCTATGAACCACCTTGGAATTGACCAGTCTGTCGGTATTTCTCTCACGAACCAATCATGAGTTGATTTTTTCATCGTAAACATTTTTGTACCGTGGTCTGCTTACTATACTGTTAGGGTCCAATCAAGTGCAAAACAGAAATCTATGTGCTTTCTTCTGGCACAATTGAACTGGGTCATTTGAGTTTCATTGGAATAACTTTCAATTATGACTTTCCTTGCTTTACTGCTCATCAAATGATCAATTGTTGCTCAATGCAATATTTTCCGGGATAAAGCAGTGAAAAGATTTATTTGATTAAGGAATGCCATTCGGCTTGTGGGAACTGTGAACCCATGAAACGCTGTACAGCTGTTGTAGCTTTTTAGAGTCTGACCTATTCTTTTGGGTTGTTCGATACAATAAACACACATAAACGTATCCACTTCACTTGATCTCCACAGGTTCTATCGGACCATTTTCATGCTGTCAGTCAAGGTGCGTTAACCTGCCAGTGTCGACAGAGTGACGAATTTATCCTATCTATCCTGTCGACTTTGCATCGTGAATCAGCAGCCCTGAGTTCCATCGCAGAACGTTCCCTAATGTGTGGTCTGGATGGTGGCTGTTCTACTCCCATCGGTGTGCGTAGCCACCTCAGTCCGAACACAGGTGGACATCCCTGGTTCCTCTCAATGGATGGTTGCGTGATGAGTTTGGACGGTGCGTCATGTGTGCAGTGTTCTTTGGGTTCGGAATTGCCACACCACGTAGCCACCGGTCAAAAACGTCAGCATTCAATCGCTTTGCCTGAGGGACTCGGGGAACACGAGGATGGGGATTCCCTCCGCCCCATGAAAAAGAAACTACCAACAGAGAAGAACGAATCGAATGACACTCGAGCAGCGGATGAGGAAGAGGAGGAACGGGAACCCTCGTCTACGTCTGGAACAGATACAAAGCATGGTATGAAAGATGATCTGGAACTGTTAGACACAGCCCCGACAACAGTAAGCGCGTACCCATTAAACGTCCCTGAATCTATGCATGCTTCAAATGCAAATAACTCTCAGTATGTGCGCTAAGTCGAGGAAACTCATGTTGTCCGACAATATCCGGTGTCTGTTCTATATCGTGTTACGCTCATTTTTGCTCAAACTTTGTCATCATTAAGTGTGTTCTGTTCGGATTCTATCTGTTTGGGATTTCATAGTTGCATAGAATCGGTTGTCTGAGGTTAGGCGCAGAGTTGTAGGTAACCGCGGTCGCCCACTGGAATAAGTACTCGACTTCAATAGATTGCGCTAGTTGGGGTATGTGCTAAGCATGTAACCAATTAGATTGCCATGGCGCGTGCAGTTTTCCGAAGCAAACGTTGGGTGGAGAAAAGTAAAGGATGGTCAAACTCACACTTGGAATAAAGATGTGAGAGTACTGACCAGGAGACTTGCTCACACAGATTGCGTCCTGGATCGGGAACCCGAGATAATCGTAACCGGTTGTTACAGACACACTGGATTGGCTGAGTGTCGCAAACAGTGG